CCTCTGAAAAGTCTTCTTGTTGGCTTTTCAGCACCAGAGGGTCCGAAGTATTATTATGTGTTTGGACACAGGGTCAGCAAGGGCTTGCAGGGACACTGAATGCTAGCGTAGGTTGGAGCTGGAGGAAGCCTTGACCCCCTTGCTTCCTTTACCCTCCTAAGCAGGTAGGAGTTCTCCGTTTCAGGGCTGGGGCTCCTGCACACAGGCTGCTTCACTGTCCACATGCGGCTTTCCTGCCCTCTCCCCTCAGAAGCATTGTGCTCCCCCGAGTGGCTCTCAGGGTGTGGACTGCGTGGACAGCTGTTGGCTATGAGGAAGAGCAGTGTGTCTCTCTTTGTGGATATTATTGTTTCATGTTAGTAAGCAGCAGGTTAAAACTGTATCAGATAAACCTGAATCAGAGCCCTGGCTCTAGCAGTTCCTTACTTCAGTCTAAATCTCAGTTATCTCAACTGCAAAATTCAATGAATGATAGCAACTTTCCATATAGCACCAGAGGATTAAATGATATAATGGTTTTAAATACTTAGCTCGATGCCTGACCTCAAATAAAAATTCAGTGTATCCTCTTAGGCTTAATTATGCTACTCTAGTGAATCAGGTCATTTTCTTTCTTTCTGTTTCTTTTTTTCCTTGTTCTCAGAAGTTGCCCATGAAATTGACTCAGATTTTCAGCTGGGTAAAAGTTCAATTGCTGGACATGTATCATAAAATTTCCATGGAGATATATATATATATATATATATATATATATATATTTTTTTTTTTTTTAAATAGCAGCCTCATTGTGATAACATTGAGATTCTGTACGATTCAACCACTTAAAGTATTCTACTCAGTGATTTTTATTAGCTTCACAGAACTGTGCAGCCTTCAGCAAAATCCATTTGACACCATCTGGGAAGAAACAAAAGGCTGCCTAGGAGCTGCTGTCCTTCATTTCACTTTTTGCTGCGAAGGTGAAGTAAGGTCCTCATCTCAGCAGGATTGCTCTTAGAAGACACAAATGTCTGATCATTGTGCACTGCAAACACATACTAATAAACATTTTTTAAAGCCCTGAGTGTAAGGTCCAGGGCCTGTCATCCCAGCACTCGGGAGGCTGAGGCAGGAGGATCACTGCGAGTTCAAGACCAGTCTGGGCTCCAATGTGAGCTCAAGACCAGCCTGAACTGCACAGCCAGACCCTGTCTCAGGAAGACCAGAACAAAACAAAAAGCAAAAAGCAAAACACACACACATACGCACCAAAACAACCCTGAGTGTTGAATAACCAGGCAGTGGTGAAGGTAAGGGATATAACACAAGTTTGATATCAATGCACAGTCTTAGCACAATGAATGCAGTAGAAATCACTGGATCCCATTCAAGTTCTTGTAGTAAACAACAGGACAATGGAACATATTTATTTTGATAAATACTAGCCTTATCATCCTGGTGTGGTGATGCACACCTGCCATCCCGGCACTCAGGAGGCTGAGGCAGGAGGACCACTTTACCTTCGAGACCAGTCTGGGCTACAAAGTGAGCTCAAGGCCAGCGTGAGCTGCACAGTGAGATCCTGTCTCAAAAAGAACAACAACAACAAAATCAATAATAAGAATAATGCCATTATCATATCATCCCTCCTCTTGGCAGTCATCACAAAAACATCCAGTATTCCTAACTTAGTGGTTTAGCTCCCCCCCCCCCCCAGGAATATTACCTTAGGAAGCGCTTCAGATGAGCAGAAATTTGTTTCTTAAAGAGTTCTGATTTCAGTTAGGATGTCAAAGGACACGAAAACTCCTGTACCCAGAAGTCCCGCCTCCAAGACTCGGGGTGGCGGGCACACCGCTGTCCTGCGGCTCTGACAGGATGACTAAGAGAAGCGCGGATCCACGTGGGCAAGAGCGTGGGCGAGCTGGAGCCTTCCTGCCCGCTAGTTGGGGCGTGCAGCGCAGGAGTTATCTTGGAAAATAGTTCAGCAGTGTGTTCAAAACTACACCATATGCAGGTGGGGATTCGATTGGTGCCTGCCGTGCCGGCCCCACCCCCGGGGTGCACTGAGACAGCGACTGAGACTGGGCGTGGTGGCACGCCCCTGCAATCCCAGTGCGTGGGAGGCCGAACACAGGCGGATATCTACAAGTCTGATCTGTGTGGTGAGACCCTGCAGACCTTGTT